GAAGCCAAAATCTATGAAAAAAGGCACTCAGAAAAATTGAAAAATTGATAAATCACCCCAAATTGCTTAACACGATTTTATCTCAGGAACTATAAGTGCAAATGAGCTGAAATTTTCAGGGATTGTAGTTCCTTGATTGGGATAAAATTCAGTGAAAGTTTCAGCTTTCTATCTATAATAGAAAAAAAGTTATGACCTTTCAAAGTTTTTCAAAATCTAAATCATAAGGTAGGTACCTTCTCACTAAAACGATGAAATTTCAAATTTTTTTCTGTCAAGATTTTGTATCCTAATGGTCAATCAACATACTTCAAACTCCATACACTAAATTATTCTCAGATTTGAAGCCAAAATCTATGAAAAAAGGCACTCAGAAAAATTGAAAAATTGATAAATCACCCCAAATTGCTTAACACGATTTTATCTCAGGAACTATAAGTGCAAATGAGCTGAAATTTTCAGGGGTTGTAGTCCCTTGATTGGGATAAAATTCAGTGAAAGTTTCAGCTTTCTATCTATAATAGAAAAAAAGTTATGACCTTTCAAAATTTTCCAAAATCTTAATCATAAGGTAGGTACCTTCTCACTAAAACGATAAAATTTCAAATTTTTTTCTGTCAAGATTTTGTATCCTAATGGTCAATCAACATACTTCAAACTCCATATACTAAATTATTCTCAGATTTGAAGCCAAAATCTATGAAAAAAGGCACTCAGAAAAATTGAAAAATTGATAAATCACCCCAAATTGCTTAACACGATTTTATCTCAGGAACTATAAGTGCAAATGAGCTGAAATTTTCAGGGATTGTAGTTCCTTGATTGGGATAAAATTCAGTGAAAGTTTCAGCTTTCTATCTATAATAGAAAAAAAGTTATGACCTTTCAAAGTTTTTCAAAATCTAAATCATAAGGTAGGTACCTTCTCACTAAAACGATGAAATTTCAAATTTTTTTCTGTCAAGATTTTGTATCCTAATGGTCAATCAACATACTTCAAACTCCATACACTAAATTATTCTCAGATTTGAAGCCAAAATCTATGAAAAAAGGCATTCAGAAAAATTGAAAAATTGATAAATCACCCCAAATTGCTTAACACGATTTTATCTCAGGAACTATAAGTGCAAATGAGCTGAAATTTTCAGGGATTGTAGTCCCTTGATTGGGATAAAATTCAGTGAAAGTTTCAGCTTTCTATCTATAATAGAAAAAAAGTTATGACCTTTCAAAGTTTTCCAAAATCTAAATCATAAGGTAGGTACCTTCTTACTAAAACGACGAAATTTCAAATTTTTTTCTGTCAAGATTTTGTATCCTAATGGTCAATCAACATACTTCAAACTCCATACACTAAATTATTCTCAGATTTGAAGCCAAAATCTATGAAAAAAGGCACTCAGAAAAATTGAAAAATTGATAAATCACCCCAAATTGCTTAACACGATTTTATCTCCGGAACTATAAGTGTAAATAAGTTGAAATTTTCAGGGATTGTAGTCCTTTGGAAGGGATAAAATTCAGTGAAAGTTTCAGCTTTCTATCTATAATAGAAAAAAAGTTATGACCTTTCAAAATTTTCCAAAATCTTAATCATAAGGTAGGTACCTTCTCACTAAAACGATGAAATTTCAAATTTTTTTCTGTCAAGATTTTGTATCCTAATGGTCAATCAACATACTTCAAACTCCATACACTAAATTATTCTCAGATTTGAAGCCAAAATCTATGAAAAAAGGCACTCAGAAAAATTGAAAAATTGATAAATCACCCCAAATTGCTTAACACGATTTTATCTCAGGAACTATAAGTGCAAATGAGCTGAAATTTTCAGGGATTGTAGTCCCTTGATTGGGATAAAATTCAGTGAAAGTTTCAGCTTTCTATCTATAATAGAAAAAAAGTTATGACCTTTCAAAGTTTTCCAAAATCTAAATCATAAGGTAGGTACCTTCTCACTAAAACGATGAAATTTCAAATTTTTTTCTGTCAAGATTTTGTATCCTAATGGTCAATCAACATACTTCAAACTCCATACACTAAATTATTCTCAGATTTGAAGCCAAAATCTATGAAAAAAGGCACTCAGAAAAATTGAAAAATTGATAAATCACCCCAAATTGCTTAACACGATTTTATCTCCGGAACTATAAGTGTAAATAAGTTGAAATTTTCAGGGATTGTAGTCCTTTGGAAGGGATAAAATTCAGTGAAAGTTTCAGCTTTCTATCTATAATAGAGAAAAAGTTATGACCTTTCAAAATTTTCCAAAATCTTAATCATAAGGTAGGTACCTTCTCACTAAAACGATGAAATTTCAAATTTTTTTCTGTCAAGATTTTGTATCCTAATGGTCAATCAACATACTTCAAACTCCATACACTAAATTATTCTCAGATTTGAAGCCAAAATCTATGAAAAAAGGCACTCAGAAAAATTGAAAAATTGATAAATCACCCCAAATTGCTTAACACGATTTTATCTCAGGAACTATAAGTGCAAATGAGCTGAAATTTTCAGGGATTGTAGTCCCTTGATTGGGATAAAATTCAGTGAAAGTTTCAGCTTTCTATCTATAATAGAAAAAAAGTTATGACCTTTCAAAGTTTTCCAAAATCTAAATCATAAGGTAGGTACCTTCTCACTAAAACGATGAAATTTCAAATTTTTTTCTGTCAAGATTTTGTATCCTAATGGTCAATCAACATACTTCAAACTCCATACACTAAATTATTCTCAGATTTGAAGCCAAAATCTATGAAAAAAGGCACTCAGAAAAATTGAAAAATTGATAAATCACCCCAAATTGCTTAACACGATTTTATCTCCGGAACTATAAGTGTAAATAAGTTGAAATTTTCAGGGATTGTAGTCCTTTGGAAGGGATAAAATTCAGTGAAAGTTTCAGCTTTCTATCTATAATAGAAAAAAAGTTATGACCTTTCAAAATTTTCCAAAATCTTAATCATAAGGTAGGTACCTTCTGACTAAAACGATGAAATTTCAAATTTTTTTTTGTCGATATTTTGTATCCTAATCGTCAATTAACATCCCCCAAACTCCATACACCAAATTATTCTCAGATTTGAAGCCAAAATCTATGAAAAAAGGCACTCAGAAAAATAGAAAAAAAGTTATGACCTTTCAAAGTTTTCCAAAATCTAAATCATAAGGTAGGTACCTTCTTACTGTAAACCGTAAACGATGATTTAGTGAGGAGAAAGTGAAATAATCAGTCAAATGATTACTCTTTGCGGTTTTTGATGTCAAATTATATGAATCAATTAATCTGGATTGAGCTATAAAGCTCACATTCTGCATATTCCCGGCTCTTGCATCTAAATCTGAACGATGAAATGTTGATTTCAAGTTTTGTCTATTTTTGGCTCAAAGTTAATCTATTGATTCAAAGTTAGAGTTTCCTACATTGAGGTTTAAGTTCAAAGTTGATCCATTCCAGGCTCTTGAATCATCTGAAAATCTTTCCAATAGTTCAAATTTTGGATCATTACTGGCTTTTAAATCATTAGAAAATTTCACTGAAGGTAATCAAAACCCAGTAATGGTTCAGATTTGAATTATCTCTAGCTGAAACATTTTTCTGACTAAAACTTTGATCATTACTGTGAATCATTAGAAAACCTTTTGAGACGATATCAAGAGCCGGGAATAGTTAAAGAATTTCTTAAAGGACTTAGAAAACCAAACAGCCTTGATGTGTTTTTCGTGGAGAAAGTTCTACAACAAAAAAGGAATATTTATTTTTTTTTTTGTAAAATGAATAGGATTTGATAAGTCACATAACAGCTGGATCGACAAAATCAACAATGTGCCTATTCTAGGCTCTTGAATCATCTTCCTACACATTGCTTTGAGTTTGTAGTTTCTGAGTTATAAAATGTCAACTTCAAGTTTTCCCCAATTTAGATCTACACTATCTGACTGTCAGAAGTGATCAAACCCTTAAGAAAGAAAACCCAGAGTCCTAGATTCTATTCCAGACATTGATGAGGAATTTAAGAAGTGGTTGGTAAAGGTGCTACAATTCCAAAACACCATAGATTTCTGGTGACAAAAATAACGAATCAAAATTTTCCAAATCTGAACAGGAAAATATCTCATATTTTGCCCAGTAGGTAGGTAGTTAGTTATTCCCATAATCCTGTAACTGTATCTTCAAATATTGAAGCATCAGAAAAATTCAAATTCGATTGCGTGGTCAATTAAAATTCCTAATTTATAATCAAAAGTGATTTCCTTCTTTGTCGACCTACTTTTCTGGCTACAAGCTTAAGCATGCTATTACAATATTCCACTCAAGCTATTTTTAAAACGGCCCCATGTTTTTTAACTGTTATATTATCTATGTCTGAAATGAAAGAAAGAACAGTTACCTACTTACCGTTCCGGTTGGCTTGTATTTTTATATATATGTAAAAAAAAGCCTTTGTTATATAAAAGAGTATGCAATTGACAAATTAATCAATTTAAGAAATAATTATGTCTGGATTAATAGGATTATTAACATTTTGTGTCTATTTTTATGCCCCATACCAAAGTACAAGGTTGGCGTGGAGATGTATTTTTAGTTTCTCGTTGGGTGCATGCGAACAACTACTTGTTGCTTTTGTTGGCATAATTATGAATTGATTTAATTAATAATTAATCAAGATTTTGTTTATTTGATTTCTTAAGCTCCCGTTAAAATATTCATCAAAAAATACTATACATTATATTGTATAATAAAATTATTATTCAAGAATTCCTATATCTCAACGATAATCAACCTTAACCATTATATTAGCAGTCGTTCGGCCAATAAAAATACGTTCTCTAGGTCAGTAATGTCAGTCTCAAAAATAAAAAATCGTGATATCAGCTTAGCAATAGCCGACCTTGAGACGAAATGAATCTGCCTAAAAATAGATCTGCAATATTGATAAAAATACTGTTTTTTTTAGGCTCCCACGAGGTCAAGATTAAAATCATCAGGTACTTACAATATCGTGCCCCTGGGTACCGCCTTTGACCACCTCGGGCGCCATGTACTCGATGGTACCACAGAAAGAGTAGGCTCGTTGTTCGCCGTCATTGCTAGAAAGTTCTTTTGACAGGCCGAAATCTGTCAGGACTATGTGGCCTTTGTCGTCTACTAAGATGTTTTCTAGTTTGATGTCTCTATAGATGATGCCCAGCTGGAAAAAGAACACAATATTTATTATATAGGCTTGAAACATTGAATATAATCAACAGCAGGCAAATTTTGATTATTCCCGGCTCTTGATTTACTTCTGTAAGCATTCAATAGTCTTAAGGGTAGGGAAAAACATCATAATCTACTTTCTGAGCCTCAAATGTACTCCAAATTTGTTTCTTTGATGAAAAGACCCTACTTAATAAATCCTAAAAATTTGAAGCCATTTTGAGCGCTGGAAGTATTTTTCACAAGCCTTCAAGATTTTTCCAAGTTCGTTTTGTATTGGTGTGAGAAGAAACATTATAATTTTCTTTCTGAGCCCCAGATCTACTTCAAATTTGTTTCATTTGATAAATAAACCCTGCTTAGTAAATCCTGAAAATTTGAAGCCAATTTGAGTGCTGGAAGTATTTTTCACGATCCTTTAAATGCGATTTATTAAGAATTTTACAAGTTTTTTATGTATTAGTGAGGGAAAAGAGTCATAATTTTCTTTCTGAGCCTCGAATTTAGTCTAAATTTGTTTTATATGTTAAATAGGCCCTAGTCTATATATCCTAAAAATTTGAAGCCATTTTGATTGCTGCAAGTATTTTTCACAAGCCTCTAAAGGTGATTTAATGAGATTTTTTCAAGTTCGTTTTGTATTAGTGTGGGAAAAAACATCATAATATTTGTTCTGAGCCTTAGATTAACTTCCAATTTGGTTTGTTGGATGGAAAACCCCTAAATATTTGATCCTGATTCACATGCCTTCAAATCTGATTTATCAATAATTTTACCAAGTTTTTCTGTATCAACATGGCAAAAATTCCATAATTCTGTCTCTGAGTATCACATTGACTTCCAATATGTTTTATTTGATAAAAATACTCTAAATTAATACGTGGTAAAAAGTTGAAGTCGCTCTGATTCCTTGAAGTAGTTTTCACATTTTTTCAAAGGTGATTAACAGGGATATTATCAGGTTTTTGTGTATTAACGTGGAAAAAAGTTCATAATTCTATTTCTGAGCCTCAGATTGACTCCCAATTTGTTTTATATGGTAAAAAAAATGCTGATTAATAAATCGTTGAAAAGTGGAGTCGTTCTGAGTTTTTGAAGTATATTTCACATGCCTTCAAAGGTAATTTAATAGGAATTTTGCCAAGTTTTTTTGTATCAACATGGCAAAAACTTCATAATTCTATTTCTGGGCGTCAGATTGACTTCTAATTTGTTTTATTTATTAAAAAGACTAAGGTTAATAACGCGTAAAAATTTCAAGCCGCTCTGATTGCTTGAAGTATTTTTCACAAGCCTTCAAAGGTGATTTATCAGGGATTTTATCAAGTTTTTATGTATCAACGTGGAAAAAAATTCATAATTTTTTTTCTGAGCCTCAGATTGATTCCTAATTTATTTTATTTGATAAAAATACTCTAATTAATAAGTGGTAAAAATTTGAAGTCGCTCTGATTCCTTGAAGTATTTTTCACATCACTTCAAAGGTGATTACCAGGGATATTATCAAGTTTTTGTGTATTAACGTGGAAAAAAATCATAATTCTATTTCTGAGCCTCAGATTGACTCCTGATTTATTTTATTTGCTAAAAAAGCTCTAATTAATGAACCGTTAAAATTTGAAGTCGCCCCGATTCCTTGAAGTATTTTTCACATGCCTTTAAAGATGATTTAATAGGAATTTTATCAAGTTTTTTTGTATCAATGTGGGAAAAACTTCATAATTCTATTTCTGAGTCTCAGATTGACTCCCAATTTGTTTTATTTGATAAAAATACTCTAATTAATAAGTGGTTAAAATTTGACGTCGCTCTGATTCCTTGAAGTATTTTTCACATTTCTTCAAAGGTGATTAACAGAAATATTATCAAGTTTTTGTGTATTAACGTGGAAAAAAATCATAATTCTATTTCTGAGCCTCAGATTGACTCCTGATTTATTTTATTTGCTAAAAAAGCTCTAATTAATGAACCGTTAAAATTTGAAGTCGCCCCGATTCCTTGAAGTATTTTTCACATGCCTTCAAAGATGATTTAATAGGAATTTTACCAAGTTTTTTTGTATCAATATTGGAAAAACTTCATAATTCTATTTCTGAGCCTCAGATTGACTCCCAATTTGTTTTATTTGATAAAAATACTCTAATTAATAAGTGGTTAAAATTTGACGTCGCTCTGATACCTTGAAGTATTTTTCACATTTCTTCAAAGGTGATTAACAGAAATATTATCAAGTTTTTGTGTATTAACGTGGAAAAAAATCATAATTCTATTTCTGAGCCTCAGATTGACTCCTGATTTATTTTATTTGCTAAAAAAGCTCTAATTAATGAACCGTTAAAATTTGAAGTCGCCCCGATTCCTTGAAGTATTTTTCACATGCCTTCAAAGATGATTTAATAGGAATTTTACCAAGTTTTTTTGTATCAATATTGGAAAAACTTCATAATTCTATTTCTGAGCCTCAGATTGACTCCCAATTTGTTTTATTTGATAAAAATACTCTAATTAATAAGTGGTTAAAATTTGACGTCGCTCTGATCCCTTGAAGTATTTTTCACATGCCTTCAAAGGTGATTAACAGAAATATTATCAAGTTTTTGTGTATTAACATGGAAAAAAGTTCATAATTCTATTTCTGAGCCTCAGATTGACTCCCAATTTGTTTTATATGGTAAAAAAAATGCTGATTAATAAATCGTTGAAAAGTGAAGTCGTTCTGAGTTTTTGAAGTATATTTCACATGCCTTCAAAGGTAATTTAATAGGAATTTTGCCAAGTTTTTTTGTATCAACATGGCAAAAACTTCATAATTCTATTTCTGGGCGTCAGATTGACTTCTAATTTGTTTTATTTAATAAAAAGACTCTAGTTATTAACTCGTAAAAATTTGAAGCCCCTCTGATTGCTTGAAGTATTTTTCACGTGCCTTCAAAGGTGATTTATCAGGAATTTTATCAAGTTTTTGTGTATTAGCGTGGAAAAAAGTTCATAATTCTATTTCTGAGCCTCAGATTGACTCCGAATTTGTTTTATTTGATAAAAATACTCTAATTAATACGTGGTTAAAATTTGAGGTCGCTCGGATTCCTTGAAGTATTTTTCACATGTCTTCGAAGGTGATTAACAGAAATATTATCAAGTTTCTGTGTATTAACGTGGAAAAAAGTTCATAATTCTATTTCTGAGCCTCAGATTGACTCCTGATTTATTTTATTTGCTAAAAAAGCTCTAATTAATGAACCGTTAAAATTTGAAGTCGCCCCGATTCCTTGAAGTATTTTTCACATGCCTTTAAAGATGATTTAATAGGAATTTTACCAATTTTTTTTGTATCAACGTGGGAGAAACTTCATAATTATATTTCTGAGTCTCAGATTGACTCCCAATTTGTTTTATTTGATAAAAATACTCTAATTAATACGTGGTAAAAATTTGAAGTCGCTTTGATCCCTTGAAGTATTTTTCACATGCCTTCAAAGGTGATTAACAGAAATATTGTCAAGTTTTTGTGTATTAACATGGAAAAAAGTTCATAATTCTATTTCTAAGCCTCAGATTGACTCACAATTTGTTTTATATGGTAAAAAAAATGCTGATTAATAAATCGTTGAAAAGTGAAGTCGTTCTGAGTTTTTGAAGTATATTTCACATGCCTTCAAAGGTAATTTAATAGGAATTTTGCCAAGTTTTTTTGTATCAACATGGCAAAAACTTCATAATTCTATTTCTGGGCGTCAGATTGACTTCTAATTTGTTTTATTTAATAAAAAGACTCTAGTTATTAACTCGTAAAAATTTGAAGCCCCTCTAATTGCTTGAAGTATTTTTCACGTGCCTTCAAAGGTGATTTATCAGGAATTTTATCAAGTTTTTGTGTATTAGCGTGGAAAAAAGTTCATAATTCTATTTCTGAGCCTCAGATTGACTCCGAATTTGTTTTATTTGATAAAAATACTCTAATTAATACGTGGTTAAAATTTGAGGTCGCTCGGATTCCTTGAAGTATTTTTCACATGTCTTCGAAGGTGATTAACAGAAATATTATTAAGTTTCTGTGTATTAACGTGGAAAAAAGTTCATAATTCTATTTCTGAGCCTCAGATTGACTCCTGATTTATTTTATATGCTAAAACAGCTCTAATTAATGAACCGTTAAAATTTGAAGTCGCCCCGATTCCTTGAAGTATTTTTCACATGCCTTCAAAGATGATTTAATAGGAATTTTACCAAGTTTTTTTGTATCCACATTAGAAAAACTTCATAATTCTATTTCTGAGCCTCAGATTGACTCCGAATTTGTTTTATTTGATAAAAATACTCTATATAATACGTGGTTAAAATTTGACGTCGCTCTGATTCCTTGAAGTATTATTCACATTTCTTCAAAGGTGATTAACAGAAATATTATCAAGTTTTTGTGTATTAACGTGGAAAAAAGTTCATAATTCTATTTCTAAGCCTCAGATTGACTCCTAACTTATTTTATTTGATAAGAAAGCTCTAATTAATGAACCGTAAAAATTTGAAGTCGCTCCGATTCCTTGAAGTATTTTTCACATGCCTTTAAAGATGATTTAATAGGAATTTTATCAAGTTTTTTTGTATCAAAGTGGGAAAAACTTCATAATTCTATTTCTGAGCCTCAGATTGACTCCCAATTTGTTTTATGTGATAAAAATACTCTAATTAATGCGTGGGAAAAATTTGGAAGTCACTCTGATTCCTTGTAGTATTTTTCACATTCTTTCAATAGTGATTAATAAAAATATTATCAAGTTTTTGTGTATTAACGTGGAAAAAAGTTCATAATTCTATTTCTAAGCCTCAGATTGAGTCCTGACTTATTTTATTTAATAAGGAAGCTCTAATTAATGAACCGTAAAAATTTGAAGTCGCTTCGATTTCTTGAAGTATTTTTCACATGCCTTTAAAGATGATTTAATAGGAATTTTACCAAGTTTTTTTGTATCAATGTGGGAAAAACTTCATAAT